GAATTGTGCCTGAGTACATAAGAACGTTGGACAGCACTGATCTACAGCATTTTCCCATATCTTTAACATTTACATTGAGTATTAAAAACATTTATGTGAAAGGTGCTGTGGGAGTATGGGAAAGCCGACCATGTTGGTTGGTTAATGTGTTGGCTGGAATTGTAACTTGCAGTCTGCTGAAGGCAGCAGAGGAGGTGCATCTCCCCAAAACACTGCGTTCGCAATATGGCGGTGGCCTCAAGGAGTTTGTTCAGCAGGAGGTCTCCTGTTTTGAAGGGACAGAGAATGAACGGGAGTTCTTCACAACACAGGAGCGTCAGTGGCTTGTGCTGCACCTGCTTCAGACTCTTCGGGCTGGTCCTGATGACCAGGTGGGCGGGCTGAAGCTTATTGAGGGACAAGCAATAGGTTTGTATCTGTGCTCAAATTTTAGATGTCAAAATGTGAGGGAGAGTCAGTAAATAGTTCACAAATGGTTATAAATGTAAAACATGTGATATTCAAACCTGGAAAAGACATTTATTTCCTGACATATCCTCCACCAACACTGACACACTTGTCCCATTGCTTTATGAGTGTGAAAACCCACAGTGCAGAAGTCTTTTGACTGTTGTCTCAGCCACTTCTGCACCTCGTTGGGCATAATCTGCAACAAAGACAAAAATAACACCATCCAGTGTAGCTATTTAAGTTTTATCACTTGAAATCTCATCACCCTTACATGTTTCAATCCCTACAGATCATCCTCAGAGGGCATCAATACTTTTTCCGGAAACTACTGTTACGATAGGTGTTAAATTATATACATACACATATAATGTCTGAAATACACAGTGTACACAATGTTCAACTTTTCAGTGACAGCAACCTTCCTGGTATTATAATTTTTAAAGTTTCTTAAAAACTTTGTTGTTTAAGATTAAAATTTTTATAAACCATGCAGGTTCGTGTCAATTCTCCTATTGTCTTTCTTGGAGGTGGCTGATATTGTGCCACCTGTCTATCTTGAGAAAGGAGATTCTTAGTACTGTCCATGTTTATTCGTGGCTTGCTGTGTTGTTTACACTTTTTAAGCTATTAAGAAACTTTAAAAATTTTAATACCAGGTAGGCTGCTGTGACTGTGAAATGTTGAACATTGTGTACATTGTGTATTTCAGACATTATATGTGTATGTATATACTTTAACACCTATTGTAACAGTAGTTTCCGGGAAAAGTATTTATGCCCTCTGAGGATGATCCGTAGAGATCGAAACATTTAAGGGTGATGAGTTTAAAGGTGATAAAACTTAAATAGTCATGCTGGAGGGTGTTATTTTTGTGTTTGTAATTGTTAGTGTGACGGACCAGAATGAAACAAATCAAATTCATAATCTGCAACTTTCAAATGTCCTTGAGAGAATTTCTGAATCCAGCTTTCAACCTCTTTACATGACAGACACTTCCCACCATAAACAAGAAACATTTCTTTATGAATATCATTTGCGTTGAGTTCTTTTGTTCACAAAAAATGCACACCAGAATGTTGCCCTTCAGTAGTACACTCCTCAACCACAGTGACCATTTTGACTATGGAAACCAGTCTCTGAACGTGCATGCATGTGCGTATCTGCTACCTAGACTATCATGAAGCTGGACTGAGCTGCTACCTAGTGATGCATATAGAAAACCAATTACATCCATTACAGTTGTTTTACTTCTATTTGTAACCTATTTACTAACTCTCCCTCATACTATACGTTTCTGTTATGATATTGCAGCATAGTCTTATGTGCCATCTGCTGGGCAGTTAGACAGCATAAAGCCCGCAGTCATTCCAGGACTACCAGTGTGTCATTTGTGGTGCAGTACCTGTGAGACAGTGATTGATAAATGAAGACTAAAACAAAGATATCAGTTGTAGTAGCCATTCTCAGGCACAAAATGACAGGAGAGCAAATCAGTCGTATTATATAATCTTCTGAGCTGCGACTCCACATATTCTTATAGCAGAAAACAACTTGTGCTCCCAGTATGGTTGCAGCATATTGTTTGAAACTGCACATAAAAAGGAATGTATTGCCTTGGTACTGAACCGAGTGCCTTGTGGTGGTGAGCTGCCTTCACATTGCTTTGTGTGTGAAATTCCATCAGGCCGTCAGAACTGATGTGGTATTTGAGGTGATTATTCAGGCTTTGGTTTTCTGGATTGTGATGCCATGTAGCCTGTTACATTGGTACTGGCCTTTCGGAGGAATGTGCACCCACCGCCTCCAGGGCAGATGCTGACCCTGAAGCTGGAAGGGTTCTGTTTCTCCAAAACGTTGGTGTCTGCCTACAAGACTATACAGTGGACTATGTGAACTGGTTTGTGTTCCCACCATCCTGTGTCTGAGACTGAGTCTCACTACTGAGGTCTTTGTTTTGTTGTTACTTTGTTGCTTCAGATAAGTTCAGGGATAATGCCTTCAAATGGTCTGTGGCTATTTCCACATTCTTTGCACTTCATCATTCATGATCATTCTTTAGCTGAAACCCCACAAACTGTAGTTATGAAAGTAACACACACTGCTATGTTCTCCATATTGGGATTTCACTTGTGAGGTCAGCCATTTGTTCATGAAATCTTGATTTTGAAGTTACTGCATTTCAAAAGGAAATGGAAGAGAACAAGTGAAGAACACCTTGCAGTTCTTTTATGTTTCAACTGGTTTAAGCTTTGACAGGCTGCATTTAAAATTTCTTCACATTTGAATGACATCAATGGGAAAAAATGACATTTGCATACACAATGGCAGCAGCCCATCAGGTGACAGGGTTGGCAATGAGTGTGTTAGCCCTTGGCATCTGGAAATAGGCAGTTTTAAATTGCCAGGTAAATTTATTACATGGCTGTGACCTGCAACATGCATGAATTGTTCTAACTGTTGGATTTGAGGTTATCACAGCAGTGACTGTGGAGAGTGCTATCTCCTTTGGTGTGAAGCTGTGTCATCTGGTAGAGATGCACTGCCTCCATCTTCAGGCTCATTGATTATCCAAATCAAGTAACCAACAAGAAGCGTGGCTTCTCTGCTGCTTCTTGCTAGTTGGTTAGCTTAGTCTTTGCCCCGAAGTTTTAGGCTGTATGATTCTCCTGCTACTACTACTGGACTGCATGGTGTCACATCCCAGAGGATATTAATATTCTTGCATTCAAGAAATTGTGTTCTGTCTTGTGTGCAGTACCCAAATGTGTATCAGCTGGTGTAATATCGCAAGTGTTTCCACTACATGACCTCCCTGCACTCCGGACACTGCAGAAGACCTGGGTGCGTGCATTCCTGCGCATGCAGCCGTTAGGTAAAGTGCTCTGTCTGTCTGTGCAAGCAGCAGACTTGCAGTCAATATGAAACATTAAATTAGTGCATTAGTGTGTGCATGAGATGTGACTCTTACTAACATCTTGATTAATGCTGGTTTAGCCGCATGGGGTTCCTGTTAGTTTGTTAGTCTTAGAACAGTTGCTACGTTATAACCTGACCCACAATAAAGTACGACACAAAATTGATGTGTTTGTTGCAACTTAATAATTGAAAGTAGTTGTATTTTGATAATGATCTCTGCTACGTCAATAGATCTCTGCTACTTTCACAAGTATAAATACACAGTTCTTTGCATGTAGTCTGGTATAGATTCACCACTGTTTTTGAGGAAAGTACTGCCTGCCTCTTCAGTGTCAGAGATTAAACCAAACAAGCAGAGTGAGCCATGTGCAAGGACAATTGGTTCACGTATAGGCCCAGAAAGAACACTATTACTCTTCTTCTTGCCCTCCCATTGGTTTCCTGTGGGCACCTCTTCAGGCCTATGTATGAATCGGGCTTTCCTCATGTATCTTGCTGTGCTTGGCTCTTGCTAGTTACTTGTTTGGCTTACGCACTGACCCTGAAGATGGAGGCAGTATGTCCCTCCAAAATGTTCATACTTCTTGGCACTCATGTACTCGCAGTTCCACATCCCCTGTACGTTACAAGAGCTTGGTCCTGTACGTATATCATTTCCAGTGATTAAATTTGGTGTCAGTAGAAGAGAATGGTCAACTACACCCCCTGACCACTTTACCTCCTGGGATGCTTTGGGAGGCTGGGTCAGCCCCAGAGCTGATCTGGACGCTATGGAGAAGAGACAGATATCTGCTGCTGCAGGCAATCAAACTCAAACTCCCGTTTCAACCATCCCATTACCTGGTCACTGTATTGTATTTTACTGACAGGGAACAACCACCCAGTCACCCCATAAGCACTCAGACCTCTCTGCAGAGTCTGTTATGTGCCCCTATTGTGGCCTATGAGTATGAGGGTTGAGCCATAAAAACCGGTCCTCGCACTGCGACCTTCAATGATCTATTGTACTTCCCTTTGGATTAACTCTTTATTAATCCTACACTTCGAATGAAATGTAGCCCTTCAAGAGCCAGAACCCTCCGGCTAGAGGCTCTCATAATATCCATTGTCCCTACCCATGCCAAGTGAAATGTCACATCCATGCCCAACCAAGCTGGGCTGCTGGCATTGGGACATCCCAGACTCCTGATGTCTTTCACCAAAGGACATCAAAACCTCCATCACTGGTCACAGATGTACCCACAACTGAGCCCCAGCCAAGTCCTCAGTTTCCTCCAGAGGAGGCTGCTTTTGCTGGTAAGACATTTCCTCTTCATGATGGGCAGGCCATAGTCACTGTACTGACTGAGCTTTCACACTAATTCGAACTTCCATTGATCGCATTGTACTATTGTAAGGGCAGTTCAGCTCTTTCTGTAAAAATACTGTTGTCGCCACCGTACCAGCACCTGAAGTAGCGGAGATTTAAATCCATATTGTTGGACTGCAAAAGTTAAGATACAGCAGAACTTTATAGTGGGCCACTTGTGTTGTTTGTGTGTGTTGTGGTAACTCTTCTCTTGTGTGATTGTAGATGCAATCTGTGATTACTTTGGGGTGAAGATAACCATGTATTTTGCCTGGCTCGGCCACTACACCACAGCTCTGACTGTGCCAGCTGTGGTTGGCTTTGTTTTCTGGGTAAGCTACTGACTGACTCTCTCATCAGTGCATGCCTTTTTTCTGTTCAGTGTGTCATCACAAGTTTTCTAAGCTTATGTTTCTCCTTCACAGATTTTATTTGCATCGTTCAGTCAGGTTGCACCTTTCTTCAGCCATAAAAAATTTGGGAAATATACACATAGCCAACAATTAGGCTTGTTCACTTCCTCCTGATTAATTATCTCAGTAACCACAATACTTGTGGAAAAGGAGTATTGTGCATCAAATGTGAGATTCATTTTTCTCTGTAACTTCATGTGAAACTTTTTCACTCCTATAACTGTTTAGTAAGTTATGTTTGAGATGTGCACAGAAACTCATGTGGGTCTTCATGTAAGTGTCCATTATTGTTTCTGATTTTGACCAAATTTGGAATTTATCTGTGAATTTTAGTGATACTCCAACTGTCAGATATAATGAAAATCCATTCAGTAGTTCTTGAGGCATTTCACGTGAACAGATGGATGAATGAATGTGGCTATGGTAAATGGTGATAAGTTGAGGATGCGATGGGTGTGGCATGTAGTACCCATGGGTGATGAGAGAAATGCAAAAAGAATTTCAGTTGGAAAGCCTGAAGAGAAGAGACCATTTGAGGGTGTGAGTTGAATTCATTTGGCTCATGTGGAGGCCCAGTAACAGGCTCATATGAAAATGGTAATGAACTTTCAGGTTGTGAACTAGGCGAAGAATTTCTTGACCAGCTAAGTGACTCTAAGATTCTCAACACCTGTGCTTAATGGAGTTTGTGAGTGAGCAGTTTTGAGTTGGTCCCTGTTAAGTACTGTGATCATCCACAGTCTGAAAACCAAACTGTAAATCTCACACGTGTGATTGTTCTCTTTGAACAAATATGTGTCTGAACCCAAAAGTTAAATATCACAATTACCAACCCATGTTATAAAAATAATGTATTTCAGAATGGAAAATCACAAAGTTCAGGACAGAGTTGGAGGATTTAATTTGTTAACTGTATTAAGATTTACAACTGTTTTATTGTACTCCATTTGATTTGTGCAGCTCATAATCAGGGTACAAATAGAAGAATATCAGAACCTGCTAAATCTTCACAACCTATTTTGCAAATATAAATATTTTGTAAGATTTGAGGCTTTCACAGCGGTGACTATGAAGAAAGCAGTCTTCTGGGATTTGGCACCGTGTATATGTGGTGTTAACCGACGTTTCGGAGGAATGTCGGTTAACACCACATATACATGGTGCCAAATCCCAGAAGACTGCTTTCTTTATAAATATTTTATTTTAATTGTGTATTAATATTATTCACCTATCTCCTCCTTGACCTTTTATGTGGCTGCTTTCCAAAAGTTTTTCCCCACCAGAGTTTTGTATTTTCTGTGGAATTCAAAGCTGTGTGTATGATTTGCAGTTCTTATGACAGTGAGGATTCGTATCTTGGATTCTGGGTTATGATACCGTGGCGGAAGTCAGAGGCAATGTGTTACTCCAAAATGTTTCTGTTGACCTACCAGGCTGTACAGTGTCGTAACCCAGGTGGCAACAATATGTGTATAGTTGTACATGTAGTTTAATACTGTAATAACATCTGTGCTATTGGTAATAAAAGGTAAAGCTGTCCCTGTGTTTAACTAATTAAGCACCATGCCATGAAGATGTATGGGTTAGTGGACGCATAGATCCACGTTTTCTTGATCTTGACACCAGTTAGAGGTGAGTGGTCAGCTTCACGCTCGTGCCTCTTTACCCTCGGTGGAGGAGCCCACAGTACTCATTGGATAGTACACTGGGTGGGCCCCAGAACCAGTCTGGATGACGTGAGAGGAGAAGATTCTTGACCCTACCAGCACTTGAACTCCAACCCCTCGACCGCCCAATCCGTAACCAGCAATTGGTAATTGGGTTTGCAAATTGAGGGGTAAAATGTGTAGTTACAAATTCTGTGATTGTAGACTGAAACTGCAGAGAGAAAGAAATGGACAAGAAGTGTGTTGGCTGTGTTAACAAACTTGTTACAATTCTCCAGGACCTTGTGATGAAACAGTGTGTAGATTTGTCAGCTGTATAACAGAATCTGGTGCTATGTTGTTGTGTTAGAGGATGGAAACCAATTAGAGCTAGAACAATATCTTTTGCATGAGAGTCAAACCCTTATGCTGGCTCAAAGCCAAATTATGACAGAAAAATTCGTACTTTATTGGATGAATATTGATGTTAAAATTATATTTCTTGTTCTTCTAATGTTATTTCTGTTTTATATGGCACTTGGATAAAAAGTCTCCAGCCTCTTCTTTCTGCCCAGTTTTCGTTTTTAATTTTGTGTTCATCTGTTTCCTCTTTTCTTCACACCTTACAGTATCTGCTGAACCATCTACTTCTAGTCATCACACAGGCCTCTTTCCTCTAAATTTTAAATCCTTTGTCTTTCTCAGCATCCTAGTTTCATCCATTCCTCTACATGAGCAAACCGTTACAATACTCTCTCTTCTAATCCTATCAACAAATTTTGAATTCCAGCCTTTTTTCTAAAATTATAGTGATGAAAAATTATTCATAACAAAACAGTACTTTTCAATTTACATATCTAATTCCAGTTGATGTTCTGTAATCCATAAAATTAAAAATCTGAGATGTATGAAAACACAGTCGTATCTTACTTTTCTCCTCTTGTTAATTTCTGTTAACAGAACTTCCATAAAAATGTATTCATTGGAATATAAAGTTTACTGTTGTTTGGCTTGCAGCCTAGGCAGAGGGTTTAGCTCTTTGAATTGCCCCTTTTAGTTAGCTCTTCACTTTGTGTGTGGCACAAAGTCATTTCAGTGTGCACCAAAGTGAACATCTGTGACTGGGTCTTGGCTCTGAGAACAGTCACAGTTCTGTGTGAGGGAACTGTTATTCTGTTGGCAACTGTATTTCTGAGTGTTACCATATTTGTAGTGAGATCCCCAGCTTGCTGTTATTCATTTCAGACCCTTTTGTGATTCCATCTCCTATCTTTGAACCTAACGATTAAAATGTATGAAACCATACTTTCTTCTGTTGTTTTCTATGGGTGTGAAACTTGGGTCTCTAAACTCCACACATTGAGGCTGTGTGAGAGCAGGGTGTCACAGAAAATATTTGGATCTGAGAGAGAAGCAATGCGGGGGTAGGAACAGCTGCTTGATAAGAGCTTCATAATGTGTGCTCTTTACTGGATTATTACTGGGGTAATCAGGTCACTTAGGATTAAATGTGCACAGCACGCAGCATGCTTGGAGGAGGTTGCAAATGCATACACAGTTACAGTTGAAAATCCTGAAGGAAGTATTTCATTTTGCAGATCTTGGGGTAGATGGCAGGATGTTATGATAGTAGTGTTTGAGGATGTGGACTTGATTCATCTAGCTCACGATAGGGTAAAATTCCAGGATCTTGGGAACACAGTAATGACCCTTCAGATTCCTTGGTGGGTAATTTTGTGACTAGTTTACTGACTGAACTTCTCAAGGAAGACTTCTGTTCCGTGGACTTTGCAAACCGTTAGCTAAGTTTCTCTAGTGGACAGCAGATGAAAGCATTGAACAGGTGAAGCAGGGGATTGCACTCTGGTAAGGATTTAACATGGTAAAGGAGGAGCAGCAGTCATAATGAAGTGCAGGATACTTGGCTCTGAGTCAGATGATTGTGTGAGTTCACTCCCCAGCAAGACCTGTGTGCTTGTGAATTTGTTGCTCACAGGCTGGAACCTGAACCTCTGACAAACTTTGTGAACTTGAAGAATACAGTCCCTCTCATTGCTCAGAGCTTATATAAAGCTGTTGCCCCCCCCTCCCCCTAGCCAGTCATCATTCACAGGATGAGTGGCTCAGAAGTAAAAACCTTACTTCCATATTGTTCCAATGAATGTCATTTGGTGTGCAGATCGGGTTTTGTGGCAGAGACCAGGCAACAGAAGATGTGGGCTTTGTTCTCTTCTCATTTTTCAATGTGTTGTGGGCCAGCATATATGTGGAGGCTTGGAAGAGGTATAGTGCAGAGTTGGCGTATCGCTGGGGCACACTGGACCAGCGCGATGATCTGCTTGTGGAGCCCCGTCCACTGTTCACGGTGAGTATAACGAAGAAGCCTCTGCTATGATATACTGACCAAGACCTTGTAACGTAATCATTGCATCTTCTGTGGAAGTGTCATCCTCGTGTTAAAGTCTGGTTTATTAATGGTGGTCTGTTGACTACAAGCCCATATATTGACTCAGGTCTTCAAGTTCTCAAAAGCTCATGATGTTACATGGTTGTGAGTCAGTTCACTCTGATCCTCATCAAGATCCAGTCTCTTGTGTTGAGGGAAATGGACCAGGTCCCATAACAAGATGGAATTTCTTTGTGGCCTGAATAAGTGGCAACTATATGTAGTGCCTGATTTAACATCCAGAAACATTACTTTTTGTCCCTGCAGTGTATTTACTGTTTCCTCTTGAATATCCCCTGCACAAATTTTTCAGAAGAAATTTGTGCCAAAAAGTTCGGTGTGCCAGCTTAGTTGCATCAGTGTTAACAGTTGTCATATTTAGCACTCTGGTGCATCCCAGAAGAGGATAGTAGCCCATTGCTCTGTTAGCTCTCCTATTCACACACGTCACATGCTACTAGCGAGGGTGCATTTGATCTCAGTTTATTCACTAGTGAATGTCAGCTTTACTTCGTGAATTTGAGTGAAGAAAGTGAGTATAAAGGGTATGTGATTACAATATTTCACGGTGAGTGGAAAATTGAAGATAAAGGATAAAGAGGATAAAGGACAAATGACGTATTCACCTGGATTGGTAGAAAAGAGTTTCAAAATGTGTGGCATCTGAAATAGTCTTTCTGGGTCAGAAGATGATTTCATTCAGTGCAGTGATGACGTTTGCATGAGCTCTGCTAGTGATGACAATGACGATGATGATGATTATGAAAGTATGGAGAATAAAATGCTATAGGTAAATAATCTTTGATTCTAATTAGCAAATTCTATATGACGAAGTTGCAATAGAATAAAGATGAAGTACCGCTACGAATGCTAATACTGCGTCATTTTCATGTTGCAGAACACCAGGTCGTGGGAACTGCAAATGTAGTGGCACTGGAAGTAACGCAGAAATGTTCTCTCATATGAAATAATGTGATCGTTAATATGTTTATTAATGTTTGATGTTTAGTTAATGTTTAATATTACATTGTTTTTTTCATCTTAAAAATTTGGGTGCATTGCTTATTCATGGGCACACTATATTCAAGAAAATACAGCTTGTGTTTTATATGATTCTCAGAGTAGATGGTGGTTATTTCCCTAACAGCAATAACCCATTGGTTTTTTGTAATGGAGACACAGCATGTTTTCTGTGAGGAAGGAACTGAAACTTCAGATACCATTTGGATGATCATCCAGCCTCAAAGGGATAGAGATATCATGTTTTGCTGATGGCAGTATGTGGAGATGACTAGCTAGTTGCTAGCAGTACACAGGGAGGTTGATGTGTGTTTCTGGTTGCAGGGTGTCCTGGAGGTTAGTCCAGTGACTGGTCAGCTGGAGCCAACCTACCCTGTGTGGAAGAGAAACTTGTTCCGCTACCTGGTCAGTGTACCTGTCATCTTTCTGTGCCTCCTGCTGGTGTTTATCATCATGATCATCACACTGCAGCTGCAGGTTTGTGTCTGTGCCAGTCCTCTCTCTGTCTGGGGTGCACTCAGAGCACACATCATTTCAGAAATTGGATCTGTTTCTGTTGCCTGTTAGTTGCAGGGAGTTTCAAAAGATGCTGTCCCGTGATTGAGACATGGTCCTGCTAATGGCCCCACTTGAGTGGGATTCCACCTCCAGCACCTGTACATAAAACTGGTAATGGCCTTTAGAGAAACAAGTTTACAACCTTTTGGGGTTGAAACTGAAGATGGAGGCACCAAGTTCTTCCAAAATGTTGGTTCCCATGAGTGCATAGTGTCATGTACCAGAAGACCGTGCTGTTGGAAAGCATTCTGTTAACACATTGCGGACCGGTTGTTTAAATATTTAAATCACCCTGGGGACTGGGGTTTTTAAGCCTAGCACCCTAACTTGAGCACTGTTCACTTTAAAAATTAATATAAAATCTCCTAATTAATTTTATGAACTAAAATTTTTGGAGAACACTTACCAGAGCTCCTAGAAGTGCTTGCGCGTGTGATATCTCTGGAAACTTTCATCGGAGCTCTCACTTTCACTGGACACAATATTTTGGGGGGCCCTGTGGCCCCTGTCACCGTCACTTTCACTGAGGCTGGCCTCGCTATCAGAAGACAAAGCAGTTGGCAAATCTGATAGCTCATCGGAGAACAAGTCTAATATTTCTTGTTCTCCGAGAGAACGCTTCGCCTGCAACTGCTTTCGTCTCTGATCCATGTTGCACTGCTAACTTCCTGGTTCATACGTGGAAGCTTGGACTAGAACAAAGGCTTTTTTCTTTAGGGTGTGACAGGAAAGGAGCGTGATCATGTTACTGGCTAAGCTAGCAAACATTCCCGAGGTCAACTACACAGTAGTTATGATGCAACATGGCCACACAGCGAGATATAGTCGGTTGCAACATAACGCTTCAGAAAAGGGCCAATTGGCCCGCCCAGTCCGCAACGCTATAGAGATGTAGGGGGCCAGTTGGCCCCTCCGGTCCTGAATGTGTTAAGTTCAGAATCAGTTTGCTTCAGCCTTTCCCTAATTTTTTTTTTTTTTGGCAGGAGTGGTGGGACCAGAAGATAACAGAGTGGGACTACTTCTTTTGCCTCAGTTACTTGCCTAAGATCCTGCTGGCAGTTGTCATCACACTGTTGGATGAGGCTTACTACAAAGTGGCGTGCTGGCTCAATGATAAGGGTGAGTAGTGGGAACAAGGTAGCTGGCATCAGCCTCCCCCCCAATGCACACATTAACCTACCATTTCCCCTGTAATGACAGCTATCAGCATCTCCACCCATATATGGCAGACAGAGGACAGGAGAGCCACAGGTCAGTTGAAGAAAGAATGCGGCATCACAGTGTGAGGTAGAAATCATGGTTCACTCCTGACATCTGTTGTGAAACCTGACCACAAGGACTTTCTGCAGGAAATAAAAAGTCTTCACAGCAGATGTCAACAGTGGTCATGGATTTGTAACATTACGAAGATGGTTACCCATCATTTGGTGATGTGGAACTAGGGAAGCAGAAGAATTACCAGCAGATGGCAACAGCACTTTCAGTGTGAAGTGATGAAATATCTGTTGTTTTCCTTTAAAGGAACATTGCAGTTTGCCTATGTAACCTGACCGCACTCTTGCCATGCTCATTTTTAACTCTGAAGATGGAGGCAGAAAGCTTCCCCGCCTGCAGGACTATGTAGTGCCACGGCCTGAGAGACCACAGTCTGACTGTGCTATGGGAATGTGTTCAGAACGTCTTGCTGTCCTGTTGGCACCAACAAAATGTTCAATACAGGTGTTTCTCATATAAAATTGTTTCTGTAACTTGGCTGATCGACTGAGTGACTTTGTTCCTGTAGCTGAGGAGGTGGTCTCTTCATGTTTCTGCCATGATATGGTGTCCATTCACAGCCCCTTCCCTCCTTTGAAGGCTGCTCTGTAAAATTTTCTCAGTCCATGGATCACTTAATTTATCATCGTCTGAAATGAAAGGACAGTTATGTGTGGTGAAGTGGGAACTGTGAGAGAGGCAGTCTTGGAGCATGTGCCCAGGAGACAGGTTGTACTGTGACCAAGACTTTAGTTGTGCAGCTGTGCTGTATAAGCCAGTAAGCTTGAGATCAAACTTGTAATAAGTAGGTATACAGCAAGCAGCAGGCAGGCTTTATTTAATAATGTATGTTTCCTTTACAGATTACAGAGTGTTTGTAAGGCCACACAGTTAAGGCAGCTAATGTGATATACAGTAACAAATGGGCACAAGTGCTATTGAAATCATATAATGCCTTGTGGGTTGTCTGAATATTGTCAGTTTCACAGCCAAACAGAACAGCAGGAATTGTTACAGATTGCATACTTGCCAACGGCTGCAGTTGAGCCATTCTGGTCCAGAGCCACACCCTGCTGGGCACCTCCTTGGCACTTCCTTTAAAGACAGTGATGTGAAACATAAAGCACTTACAGCTTGTAAGATTTGAGGCTTTCACGGCGGTGACTATGAAGAAAGCAGTCTTCTGGAATTTGGCACCATGTATAAGTGGTGTTAACTGACGTTTCGGAGGAAGGCGATACGTTCCTCCGAAACGTCGGTTAACACCACTTATACACGGTGCCAAATCCCAGAAGACTGCTTTCTCCACTTACAGCTTGTTTACTTTCTGACCTCTGAGGTGGAGGAATTGGCCTCTTCAAGTGTGTTTATTCTGTGAGCTGTTTGTTGTTAAATTCTGCATTGAAGTGTAAAGCTGTCCTTAGGTAATGTGAACAGCATCTTATAGCAATTTCTTTCAACCTGGAATTGTGTGCCAAACCACCCTGGTGCATCTGTGTTTAGAATTGTGCCCCTGCTTTCTAAGTTTTATCTGTCATCAAAAGCCCCTTCTGTACTCCCTTATGCTGCATTATTCCAGTTTGTGTTGGATTACAGACATTTTATGTTTCTTTTGGGCTGTTTATTTACTGTACCATAAGCTTGGACAGTTAATTACCAACTTCTGACTTTGCAGGTCTGGTTTCAGCCTTAGGTTAGTCTGTGTGAGATATGCACTGCACAAAGTGGTCCTGAAGCAGGTATCTCCTCTCACCACTTTGGTTCCCCCCCCCCAATTTGTCATTCCACCAATACTCCATGCTCATGTGGCATCATGAGGCAGTACAGTAGTACCAGTTGAGGCTCCCCTCTCACATCTAACTAACAAGTTTCATAATTTGTGACACTGTCCACTGTTGGCATTGTTTTCCTCAGGGGCTGTGCAGCTTCAAGCAATGAACTCCTCTGTCTTTATGCTTGTGTTGTGGGTGTCTGTATATTTCTCACAAGTCGCTCAGACATAATACAAGGCATGAGAAACAGCTGAATCCTTCATGTTGCTATTGTGTCTTGGGGGGGGGGCACATTTTCAGATTTGTAACTCCAAAGGAATTTTCAAGTACACTGTTTCTCTTATCCATTTTAAGAAGTTCTCCAAGGGACCAAGAAGTATAAACTTCTTAAACAGGAAAACATCTTAAAAGAGTAGGTGTCATAGTGTTTACAGAATTAATTATATTCCTTGAAGAACAATAGCAGAATGAACAGTGTATTTGTATACTGAAGAAATGGCTGAAACACATTAAATGCATAGGCTTTCAAGTATACACTGCGTGTTCCTGCTGTCATGGTTACAGTTGAATAGTCTCTTCTGAAATGTTACTCTCTCTTGAAGAACATGCTTAGTGTTTGTTTTACTTGTGTCTGAAACAGATTTGAAGTAAATTTTTCCAGTTTGAAGAAGTTTGTGATGAATGACTCCGGCCTGTCAGGAATGCTACTAAGGAAGTGGTGGTGCACACTGGTCTAAAAATAACAGTTTTTGGCTGCCAGTCTCCTTTCTGAACATGTTACATAGTTCCATGAACAGTGCACAAGTTACGCATGTGCTGCTGCTTAGTCTTTATATACATGGAAGGGACGTCACATGCTTGGCTTTCCGGTTACCAACAGTGACATCCTTTCAGATCCCTCCCTCGTGCACATGCAGACGCAGTAATTTTATCTTTATGTTTCTTGCCTTTATGACATCTTTCGCCTTTAGAAGCATATGGTTTGTTTGGCCCACACTCATCTGCATTAAATATGCCCTACAGATGATATTCACACAGAAGTGAAGGAAGCGCTCCTGTCATCCAGGCATCTACTTTCTTGTTACACTACTGGATTCTGGGATTCCCACTCATGGTTCTGTAACTAGGCCTAGCACATTTTTTTAATTGATGAACCCAGCAATTACAAGGCACGACTTCATTGTTTAGCTCAGACTATTTCTTCAGCCTTCTGTTTCAACGTTGAACCCTTAATTGGTATATATAATGCCTTTTTCTACTGAAACAGTTCTAGGAGCACTGATCCAGTCTTCTCACATGTAAAAATTTAGAACTTTTTCTGCCTGGCTTAGTAGTTACACATTGCTGAAGTGTGTTTTTCTTTTTTTGCTGTCATATAACTTAGTGCCGACACTGGTATACTAAGTTATTCTTTTCTGATCTCCAGTTTTTTAGAAGCTGATATCACTTTTCATTGTGTGTCTGTTTCTGCAGCCATGCATACAGCCATACATAGTACACAGATCAGCTTATTGTCATGCAGCTTCACAGAATTCAGCACATATCACTGTATGCAACCGTGCAAACAAAGACCATGCTACCACCTAGATGGATGGAGGTCAGAAAGTCACCTTGACTTCTGTCCAGCTTCTGCCACTCACTGAGTGCTATCAAGTGCTGCTAAGCTCTCCAGTATGATCAATTCATGTGAACATCTGTTTTGTTTCTCATTAGTTTTTGTACATATGTAGTACACAACTTTTTAAACACTTAAATATTCGATACCTGTCTTTAAAATTGCTGCTTTTCATAGGTGGGATATTTTTCATATTGGATATTTTTCAGGTGTGATATAAATGCATTATTCTCATGATATTACTTTTGGGACCCACTGATTTTTAATTAGGTGGGAAACCATTTTAAATGGGGTCACCTTCAGTGATATCCACTGTACTGATGCTCTCAGCAAGTTCGTTTAAACACTGTTTACACTGTGTTTCATATTTTAACCCTTTCCTTTCTTCTGGTGTAAAGCTTCTGACATAATTTTCCCATACATGTCCACTGCCAGAAGCCTTCCACAGCCATCACTACAAATTACTACCATATCCCAATTCTTTGGGGGCTTCATCTGTGGCCTGGCACTTGGGTTGATACTGAGGAAGGAACTTGCTTTTAAAATAATTCATTGAATGATAATCTTTGCTGTTTACATTCTTTGATGTGGCCTCTAATATTTCATATTTAGGAGCAACAGAAGGCAGGAGTTTTATGTTTTTCCATAACAGAGTGCTTTTTCTTACATTTTTGTAAATATTAATTTGTATCTGTTAGGAGTGTAAATGGAAATAAAAAGGACAGGAAGGGTGAAGTTTGGCATTAGATGGGGATGAGGATTGGCTTTGCAGTCTGTGTTAACTGCTCCATCACTGTCAGTTCATGCAGTTTTCTTTATTTACCTTTCATGCAACCATTTGTACCACAGGAAATGTTTGTATCAAAATAAAAGTCTGAAATGTTTGGCATGAGATGTTTAGGAAGTGTCCCCTGTGGCTTCCATGGCTGTGTTAACCAGCAGCTTTGCCCATCGCAAAAGACGCTCTAGCGCACATTGTGCTTGTGACTATTCTCAGTTCTGTTGGGTTTCATGCTGAACATGATTACATTGCTGTGATGTGTACATATCTATATTCCTGTGACACTTCTGGCTTGTATTTGGGAGGTGCCCAGTTTGAATCTTTGCTTGGACACCAATTATTCTTACCACGATTTTTGTGATTTTCCCTCAGTCCTTCCAGACAAATCCTGGAATAATACCTCAAATTAGAGCATGACTGCTTCCTTTCACATCCTTTCCAATTCATTATTCAGCAATCGACCTGTCATTTGACACAGTATAGTTGAAGATACTAATGTAGAGGTAAAGCTATCCCTGTAACAGACAGTGGAGGCCCATAGGGTTGTGAAATGTTGAGGCTCCCATATTTTTTAAGTCAGCTCACAGATGCAGGACATGAGGTTGTCATCCTTATGCGCTGGCTGCTCTTTACCCCCAGGAAGATTCCTGGTACTCATTTCTGTTAGAGGTTGAGTCAACACCAGGGCCATAGTGCAGCTGGAAGTATTAGGTCAATTGAAAAATCCAGTGACATTATTGGGAATCGTACCCACAACCTTCCAGCTTGTAGCACAGTCCCTCAACCAACTATGCTACTATGTGCATAACAAGTCTCTTTATTCTTCTGATCATGAATCAGTCCTAAAATTTGAGGTTCTCATGTGTGAATATTAAGATCAGCATCTCAGCCAGGTTATTGTGATCCTGATGAATAATTTTTGTCTGTTAACATAGTGATTTGATTTGAGCTAGAAGCTTTGTCATATTCATTCATGAGTGAAGCTGGAGCTGGCCTCTGTATGACATCCTGTGTGGCTTTACAAACAGCTCAGTTTGTTTCGTTGTCCTGGCTTTCTTGATTCCTATCACTACAATCAGTTCTTTCTTCTTTTTTAACCAGAAAACTACAGGCTTGAGACCAAGTATGAAAATCACCTAATCGTCAAAGTAGCATTGGTTTGTATCCAGACAGCTTGCTTGCTTGCTTGCCTGCAAATTGTAACTGAGTTGCATTAATTTAGTTGTGCTGCATAGCATGGTTGTTACAGTAGCAGGTAGCTGCAGTTTGCTCCACATCATATTTGTATGTCTGTTGTTAATTGGTGTTCATAACTGATTATGGTTCCTTAGCAAGGAGACATGTTAGGTTGCTGCACACTGACCGAACTGAGTCTTGCTCGCCAGGTTTGCAGACACACTAATTGAATCGAGTCCATTCAAGTCAAATTGAATCTGAGCAAAGCTGCAGACACACTAACCCAGTTGATTGCAGTCAACTTGAATCAAGTCTTGACTAAACTAGATACTGCAGAGGCAGTCCATCAGCTTCATTCAACTTGATTCAACTCATGCAGCATGATAGACATGTTCAGGAATTCTGTGATAAAGAAATGGGTCTCCTTTCCAGCATTTTAAGGAGTTAGAGTTGATACAGTTAGTGTGCCTGCAGTGTAAGGCATCATGACTCACACAGGAGCAAAGATAAGAGAAACAAGTTCCTTTGCCTGAACTTTGTGACCATTATGGCAGTGACTGGATATTGCATGGTGTATGACAGCAGTTGGGTATAAGCAGCTGTGAAAATTTACATCAACAATGAAGCAAAAGTCAGTAAAGTGACAGGGTATGGGCATGATGACTAGGATGCACTTACTGGCATGGGAGACAAAGACTTTTCTCTTCACTTTCCCTCTCAGACTAGCTAGGGCCCACCCAGCCTCCTGGCCAGTAGGTTCTGGGGTTGTTTCCTTGAGGTTTAAGCAACTGGATTATGAAGTTGATCACAGTCACTTCCATCTAGTGCCAAGGTTAAAAACATGAGCTTTAGCTCCACTTCATGGCGCAGTGCTTAAAAACAGCCAGCGTTTTGTAAATATTTTACCAGACTCCATATGTTACATGATGGCTACACACAGGATATAGGTGTCAACAGAAAATGCCATGAACCAGGTATGTGCCCAAGAGTCATTGCTTTGTTGATAAGAGCAACTTTAGCATGCACTGGGTAGACCTTAGCACCACATAAAGGTGTAAATGCACAGAATGGTAAGCCTCCATGAAACAAAATTTGTAGAGAAAAACAAAACACAGTTTATATCCAGTAAACTTTTTCTTTGAACCTTTGTATAAAATAAAATAGACTAAATGCAGCAGAATTATTATATTGTCTATACTTCTCATGACTTGTTCTGTTTTGTGTTGGATTGAAAGGAACTGCACGGTAAGGCAAAGTGTGTACATTGTGTGTGCATATTGCGTGTGTCGCAGTTACTAGACCTTGTGAGTGGCTACTTTTTCCCCTGAGAAAGAGCCCCTTTTTCACTTTTGAGTATGAAGTTGAGTGGACCCCAGAACCAGTTACTCTATAGACTTAACTTCAGTCTGTGGGACAGTACCAGCAACTGCTGTAATTTCATGACAAGTGTCACACTGTTTCTTCTGTTCCTTTAAAACAGAACCTCTCCAGCAATAAGTGACTTTTTGGAAATCAGAAGGTTAACATTTTGATGTTCTGGTGTGTCATGCCATGTAGTCTGGTAGATAGATTCAAATGTTTTGGAGTAATCTGCTGCTTCCATCTTCAAAATCATCTTTTACCCTGAGGATGGAGGCAACAGCTTCTTCACATTCCAGAAGACCGTAATGTTAACATCCTCAGCAGTGAGAACCTCAGATCTCACACAGAAGGTTGAATTCATCTCCAGTATATATTATTGTGCTTCCTGCAGGGGGAACTGCATGCCACGTTTACATCTCTGTCGTGCATGGTGATTGGTATAAGTTGTGAGAGCACATATGTAAGATATGAATCATAGTGACCAATTGCAGTAAAATCTTCTTGGATGATGGACCACATCATGGTTGAACTTAAAATCATTTTGGAGAGTTGATCTCCTTTGTGTCTGGAACATTTATTTCTAGTTCAGTCATGATGTGGCTGATTGTGGAAGAAGAGTTTAGGGTAGGGCAAGCACATGCTGTGAAACCCCTATTCAGTGTCCCCTAAAATTAAAGTTATTTAACTTACGCTTTCAATGATCCCAAGCTAGTGATCTCATTGTTAAATTTCCTTCTTTTAAGATTTTCTTCACTGTAGTGTTCAAAGCCACTGCTACCCAAGGAAACTTTAAGTGGGAGTGTCACTGGGTGTAGTCAGGACTGCTGAGTTATGATGAGAAGAAGCTCTGTTCCTTTCTTACCTGCTGCATATGTCATCTGGTTTGCAGGACAAGTGCATGTATTCCAGTACTTTGTGTAGCTGCTGTTAAAACACACCTCATTTTACCTGGAACATTTATGTTTATTAAAGGGCTGTTGGATGAGCGTGTCCAGAAGAGTTGGAATTCCCTGAGCTTGGATGTGTTTATGTTTTGAAATATAACAGGATTACATTTTAAGGCCATCACAAAATTTAAATCAGGTTTTGTGGTTGCACTGCTTGGACAGAAAACCATTTATGTTTTTTAATTGTGTGAAAGCACAGTATTTACTATATATACCGCCAGCTTATGCATACCAATAGGAAAGGAGGAAGTTTTGAAGTTAGATTTAACAGTAATACACTCTCTCCTTCCATGACCATGAATACAAATACAGCAATACCTCACATAGTCCGGATTCACTATAGTCTGGTTTGAAAATTTCAAAACAAAAAATTTTAATTGAGCAAAATAAAATAAAATTATAAAAAATTAGTACACAAAATTATTTTAATACATAAATGATCGGTTTTTTCCCTTTGTGTGGTTTTAAAGTCATGCGATGCGATACATATTTCAATTGTTTCTGGGGTTCCCCGTTGTATATGTATGTGCCTATGCTCGGGTCGTTTGTTCTTGAGCTCTGACAGCTATCACTGGAGGAGTTGGGGAGAGCACTACTTTAACGGAATTTTGGAAGAGCTACATCATCGGAAACGTTATTGAAAATATAGGAGAAGCATGGCATGAATTAATGGCAAGCAATATGAGGGCAGTATGGAAACATATCATACCACATTGTGCAAACGATTTCATTGGTTTTGAAACTCATTTTGCTGAAGTCACTAATAACACAGTGGAAACTGGACAGCAACTTGGTTTCAATGAGTTAGATTCCGTCAACGTAATTGAGTGCATCAACTCGAACACTAATGAACTAGATAATGAAACACATTAACATAGATGAACAACAAGCTTATGAGGAACGGGAGGACAACTTAGACGACGACGACTGTGTTGAAGTGCCTGCATGAGAATTAACAGCTGAACAGCTATCAAAAATTATTGGAATGGTTGAAAACTTGTCAGAGCATATTATGGAAGTTGATCCCAATATTGAACGTAGCCTTACAATTTGCTGAACGATAAACAATGCAATTTGTTGCTACAAAGAAATGTATGAAGAGAAAAGGCCAAAGAAGAAAAGTGTGCTGACATCAATATTGCAATTTTTAGAGAATAAAAAATGAATTGCAAAAAACATTAACTTTAAAAATTATTTCTAATAAAGGCATTTGAATTTATTAATCGCGTTTTATTTATTGAAAAAACAGAAATTTTTTTAGAACCAGTTATCATTTTTTGTATGTATTTAGTTCCTCGATTAGTCCTGTTTCAAACAGTCCAGGATATTGGCGGAACCGATTACCCGGACTGTGCGAGGTATTGCTGTATAATGTTCGCATCACTCGCAGTTCTATCATGGGATTGAACAGGAATTATGAATTTTCTCAACTGATGGGGGTTTGTTTCAGTGATTTGCAGCATTTGTATTTTTACAGTTATGCATGAGAACTGCAGCATGTTGAGTGATGTGATGGTTAGTGCTGTATAATTGGTTACTGCTTCTCCACTGAATGAATGTACTGGATACAGGAGAGTAATTAAGATTGTCAAATGATGGGTTGGGAAAATAGCATGAATAAGTGCAATAACAGAATTGTGTGGGGCAAATAAATTGGAAAAGTGAGATGCAGCTGCAACTATAATGCCATATTACTTTGAATATAAGACACACATTTTACACATTTTTCCTGTTGAAAAATTGAGGTGCATCTTAAATTCAAGGAATGTATACCATTCTAAATTTTTTCCTAATACATTCAAGAACTGGATGCATCTTAAATATGAGAGCATTTTATATTCAAAGTAACGCAAAGTGGGATGAAGCAGAATAGAGTTCTGTGAACCTTTGGACTGTAAGAAACATGCCGTGCTCATACGTTTGGATAAACTTTCAGTCTGAGAAATGTCATACTGAGATTTATAACCCAAGTAAGCCAAAGCAGATTATGTTTTAAGTTGTTACATGTGTGAAACATACTTTGAAGCATACCTTGAAGATCTGAGGTTCTTACACCAGTGAATACTAAACTAGTGACCATATGGGATTTAATGTCATTCAGCCTGGTAGACAGGTCCCCATCTGCCATTGAGGACCTGAAATCTCACATAGTGATTGGCTGTGAGGAGCTACTGTATTTGAATCAGGGAGAGACTATGTGTCACATCTCTTGGGCTATGCTGACTGATGAGTCAGGAATGCTGAATGCTTTATGACCTGCCATTCAGAAGACACCTGAGTCCATGCTGTGGATTAAAATGCATGCTACATGTTCAGTTAGCACTCTATAAAGATGTCTTAAGGTAGTATTCCTACATGCAACAGAGGTCAGTAACGTGTTGCAGTGCATGTCACACTGCTCCTCTTGTAGGGCCATTCAGAACCATGGCAAGAACTGGGGGAGGGGTGTGCTAACCAGGATATGCACCTCTGTTTCAGTTCCAGTTTGTTAATTCCTTCCTGTCCCTGTTCTACATCGCCTTTTATTTACAAGACATGGAGAAGTTGAAAGAGGTAAGTCCACAGTGTGTATTTGAAGTTGTTAATCCATTTAATTTGTAGTGAGATGTGAGGGTCTCACAGCAGCGAAGATTTAGATTGCAGTCCCCGGTGTCATGACACAGCATTGTCTTGTGGGTGTGTATCAACATCTTGGATACTCTGCTGCATCCATTCTCAGTCTTGCCCTGAAATTGGTGCAGTATATTCCTCTGAAGTACTGGTAGCTGCCACCAGACTTCATGGTATCATAACCTAGAAGATCATAATATCGGAATTTCAGAATTATTATTCCTAAGGCAGTGATACACAGTTAATGTGCTGAATATACTTCAGCATATATAAAAGCCATCTCTGTAACAGGCCATGAAGGCCCATAGGGCTGTGAGATGTCAAGACTCCCACATTTTCTAGAAATTTGGCTCATAGATGGTGGTGAGGTCAACCTTATGTGCCTGCCGCCCTTTACATCCAGGAAGATTCCTGGTACTCATTTCTGTTAGAGGCTGAGTCGACCTCAGGGCCATAGTGCAGCTGGATATTAAATTTGTGATGAATATTAAAAGGAATATGAAGTTAAATATTTATCTCAAGATTTTTTTAATTAAAAATTTGATAATATGGTCATATGAGAAATGTGTAGAATGATTTGGGCATATGAAAAAGAGTTGATGGAACAAGGGCACTAGAATTGAGAATGGAAGAGAGGGGATTTGTGGGATGATTCAGAAAGGCACTGGGGGGCATCACAAAGAGAAGGAAGAAATTGCAAACATAGAAAAGGCATTCAAGATGTTATATCTTCACACACATGTATACAAATGGAAATGAAGACAAAAGGAGAAGAGCAGGTACCCATAAANCCCTTTCGCATGGTGATTTAAATTCCGCGGCCGTCTCTCCGGCGGTAATATATTCAGCCGGCCATTTAAATTTTGCTCGAAAATGATTTATTCATCATTGTTCTTAAATTATATGAGATAGGAACATGAAACTTTCACTAAAATGATCTTAAAAGGTGGTTTTATAACCTTACCTTATAATATGAGCGCCCTGTATCTCGGCAATGGAAGCAGNGGCATTCAAGATGTTATATCTTCACACACATGTATACAAATGGAAATGAAGACAAAAGGAGAAGAGCAGGTACCCATAAAAGCTGATGTTCTGCATAGGGAGTCACATTATTTAAACAAGTGTGTTGATTGCTCCTGCTCATACACCACTGGCCTTGATATTCCACTGTTGCAGACAGAAACAGAGTTTTGCAAAGCTAATCACACTGCATAAATCTGAAATTATTCACTTTATAAAAATCCACTTAATTTAAAAGTTGCTTATCTTGTATTGTTTCATACAAATAGTTTTGTGAGATTTGTTTTCCAGCAATTGGCCACGCTGCTGATTGCAAGACAGGTGATTGGGAACCTGAAGGAGTCAGCCATACCATACATGCTGGAGCAGCTGCGGCTAGCTAAAATGAGTTTTGACTTGTTTGGGGCTCTGAGTCCCTCTGAAGCAAAGAAAGAACTTCCAGGCAATCAAACAGAGGAGCCCAACGAGACAAGTTCCATAAACAAACCCACAGGAACAAGCCGGAGCATCAGTCAAGCAGAACTTGAGAGCTCACTCTTCAAGGTAACTAAATGTATGCGAGATGTAGATGCCCCCTTCTAAGGAGTTTCTCTGATGTGTGCCCTTATTAGGGCACATGATAACTTCCCTTTTCAGGCCCTCCAGTTCCATATAGTTTCTTTGTAGCACTGATCCTGACCCTAACTTCTCTCTGTACAACTTGTTTCCTGCCTCGTTCTCACCTGAAGATGGAGGCAGCACATTCCTCAGAAACATTGGTTTCTCTCTACCAAACTACACGGCATCACATTTCAGAAGACAGTAATGTTAATTTACATTAACCGACATCAGTGGACCCTGCCTTTGACCATTCAGTCTCCTGATCAAAATTATGTGTGCATTTTTTGTGTTCTTCCCCATATGTCCCACCCATCTTGTCCTTCATTTAAATACTAACAATATTAAATCAAAAGTAGAAAGTGTGAAGCCCCTCACTGTGTGATTGTGTTGTGTTCACTTTACCATGTTGCAGTATGATGGAACATTTGCAGATCACTTGGAAATGTTTATCCAGCTTGGGTATGTAGTTCTCTTCTCGTCGGCCTTCCCCATGGCAGCGGTCTGTGCTCTCATTAACAACCTCATCGAGATCCGCAGTGATGCCTTCAAGTTGTGCTTCACCTTTCAGCGTCCCTTTGGCCAGAGAGTGTCTAACATTGGTACATGGCAGGTAAGCAGATGAAACTTTCAGCATACACTCATAAATTCGGGAAGTTGTCACACATGTGTGTTTGTCTCACTGAATATACATAGACGTACTCCAAATTACTTAACGATTAAATCGGTCATTTCTCTGTGATTAGCATGTGTACAGTATTAGAAACCTAAGTTAAAGAATAATTCAACTTATATGTAACCTTTTATGTGCCAGGATAGCGCAGTCAGTATAGCGACTGGCTATGGGCTGGATGACTAGGGGATCGGAGTTCGAGTCCCGGTAGGGTCAAGAATTTTCTTTTATCCACATTGCCCAGACTGGCTCTGAGGTCACCCAACCTCCTGTTCAATAGGTACCAGGGGCTCTTTCCCAGGGATAAAACGTCCAGGGCGTGAAGCTGACGCATCTCCAACTAGTGCCAAGGGTCAAGAAAATGTGGACCTGTACATCCACTCCCCCATATGCCCTAATGGTATACTGCTTAATTAGTTAAGCACAGGGACAACTTTACCTTTACCTTATATGTTACCTTTACTGGCCATGTTTCACATTATTGCAATGATGCATCCACATGGTCCAGCTACAATCATTGCATTTATCAATTCTAATACCATTAAGTTAAAATGTGGCTGAAAGCCATAAAGTGGCAAATTTTTTAAATTCCCCATCTAAAATCCAGATGCCAATCTGTAGTACTAAATTTCCTGATGAAGATTAAAACAAGGCAGTAAATGTGAAACAGAAACACCAACAGCAGCTGCTTTGTCTATGAGTGACATGCGCTTCCCAATGTTAAAGTAATGCTTTAGACAGCATACCACGCTCTTGGAATTAAGATATCAGACAGTTCCTTTCATTCAGTCAGGAGTTAACCCAGGTCTGTCACCGATAAATAAGCTAGAAAGGATGTCTCCTGGTGAAATGAATGTATCAGATGAAAATATCCTTCCCTGTATCACAAGAAGGCTGAAAGCTGAGACTGTGAGTGTAAGAGCAAAGTTATGTTGATAGGGTACAGGAGTGAGGAATATTGCCATCCCGCTGTAGCACCAGTGTACCACGCTAACTACAACAAATGACTGTTTGTTGTAGAATGCAATGGAGGTGATGTGTCTGATTGCTGTGCTGGTGAATTGTGCTTTGATCGGCCTTTCTGGGCAAGTGCATCGTATGTTTCCTGAAATGTCCACAACACAGACAATTCTCCTTATTGTTGCCCTGGAGGTGAGACTTGCTATATTTACTTTACTGGGTGACATCGCAGTCATACATGGACATTGCCCCATAATTTTATTTTGAAGCATCACTTTGTGTTACACACAATATATTATGCTTTCCATCCTTGTCTATGCAACAGAAACAACACAGATTCAGAATATTGACCAATGAAAAATAAGACAGTGAACCACAAAAATGCAACAGCAACAGTGAGAGCACTAAATTTCATTTCTGTTTTTAATTGCAGTTATAACTTAGTTTTGACCTATAAACTGAACTGTAAAGTTTAACATGACAAGTATGTAGCTGTATCTGATGATGGGTCACCTGCCAACTGAAACATGTTCCAGTGTACTGCTAACATTGTGAATGGTTAAATAAAATAACACAATCCTAGAACATCTCTAAAGGATTGTGCAGAGAAGCACCCGCACTGTGCCTGAAGTACAATGGATTCCCATTTAATGTGCATGATTTAAGGGTTTCCTTATTCAGTGTACTGTGTCACTGATCCCGAGCTCATAATCTGAGTGTTACATTACCTCCATTTAAGATTTTCCTCACTTTAGTGTTCAAATTCACTGTTCCAGAAACAAATCTGAAACGGGGTGTTTCACTATGTAAGTCTGATGTCAAGAGTACTGGAAGGGAGAATGTCTAGAAGAGAATCTGTCATATGTGACATAATGATGAAATCCTTCCCAACATGGAATTCATTCCTCTGTATAGACTATTGCACAGTGTTAAGGGTCTCGGCATAACCTGCCCATCCTGTGAAAGTTGTATGGGCCTGAACACGTTCTGAGTTTTATGTGCTTCTGTTTCTATATTAATATTTGTTTGATGCTTCTTGCAGCACATAATGCTGACATTGCGGTTCATAATAACATGTGCCATTCCTGACCTCCCTGAGTGGGTTGCTACAGAAATGGCTAAAGTAGAGTTTTCACGACGAGAAGCATGTCGTCGACTTTCTTCTACAACTGCGTCACCAGCAACCAGTGTCACAGTTCCACCACCAGGACTGGTTATAGGACGGTCAGTAATTTTCTGCTTATACATTGCTTTGTACAGTTGATGAACATATTGTGTATGATTACATTTATTGGTTATCATGAAAGCTTTCCTGAGCCATTTAAAATCTTCCTTGCCTATTTCTATTACATTCATTTTAATATTACCTTCACATTTATGCCCTAGCACCCAGGTTATATGTGTCTATAAGACTTTCAAAAGTGTAATTCTATAATGATTTGTGTTCTCCTCCATATACACTGTTTGACGTAAACACCCTAAAACCACAACTGGAACTCCAATCTTAAAGTCCACATCCTTGCCAGCAGCCCATTAGCAACTCTAATTTATCCCACTCCCCCTCCAAAGCAAGTATATTAGTATATCTTAGCCCATCATGCTGTGTTTTTAAGTCACCATTAATACCTGTTTATAGCAATTCTTATATAAAACAACTGATGGCAGGAAGCATCAAGGCTTGTAGAGCGTTGCAATTCATATAGTTCATTGTTTCTCAACAGCCTCAACAGAGAGCAACTCTAATGATATATTTAAGATGTTGCACACAGCATATCCATATACATATGACCGCTGCAGCTTCAGGAGAGTGGGCAGTGAGCTTGAGGGGTTAAATGAGGATGACATTACTGACTCATGGGGATGGGGAGGAGATGTTCTCATGTCAACATGGCTAGAATGTCATCATTAAAGTGTGGTGTTTGGTTTTAGGTTTGTTGTCTCTCCTGCCAATGAGGTGAATACTGATACCAGTCAAGAGGAGGCAAATTGTACTCCAGGAAATAACACACCGATAGTTGAAGAGAACCTTCCAACACCAATAGTAGACAATGCAGCACCCCCCATGGAGGAATCCACTCCACCCCCTATATGCTCTTCACCAGTAGACAGCAAGCAGCTCTCCCCAGGCTTGGCAAAGAATCTACCGAAGAAGTCGCGAGACTGGCTGGGACCTGAAGGGGAGACATTGGGCTATCATCTGACAATTGGACCACATGGGGTGGATTGGACACGGAGACTTGGGCTAGATCCTGCCCGTAAGGGAAGTGAACCAGAGATGGGGAGTGCTTCTGGGGGTGACCTGCGGCGTAGCACTGACTGCATTGCACATAAAGACCTTGCAGCATCCTCGGATTCAGACCTCTTGCGCTCTGCTCCTCCCTGGGTTGCAGCTCACACTCGTTCCAAATTCCGTTTTTCTCCTGAAAAAGAGGCTTCATCTGATAGCAGCCGCACTGTATCAAGCCAGGAAGGCGATGATTCCACCCATACGGCATCCCCTGGTGCAGCCGCAGCACCAGCTGCTACAACCCTGACCACAACTCCAAAAGCAGATGAACTGGCAGCTGCAGCAGCTGCTGCCAAGAAGACAAGGGTGAAACAGAGTTTGATGAAGCGAGCCCGTAGTGTAGCTATATTCTCACTGAAACTGAAGGAGCGGAGAGCTAGAGAAGCATCTGCCAAGGAGGCAGAAATGAAGGCTAAGGAGAAATGGATGCCACCCCCAAATGTGGGGGGTGAGCTGTCATGTATTCCAATAGAGAAGCTCATATCTGTGGATGACGTAGCCATGGACCTCCAGCGTAGGATGAACCCTTCTGGCAACTTGTAGCCTCTAGTCCATAGAGATCAGTGTATTTCTTAGCAATACCTCTATATCCTATATCATAGTAAGTGTACTAGATGTTAGTGTCTGTCTAAATATTACTTTTATTTTCCTTAAATGTCTTAGGCTTTTTATTTACCTTCTTTGCCAGAAGAGGGAGTAGAGGACTACCAAGCAGTTCCTGTTTAGTTTTTCTGTGGAGGCCACAGGAAGGAATGCAGAACATTCCATGATCAGAACAGGACGTAACATAGGTAGAACAAACCAAATTCTAAACACATTTTTCAGCTGCTGGTAGTTTATTTTGGTAAGATTACTAGAACAAAGCATGCCATTGTTATCATAGAGGAAAATTCACAGTTACTGCCATAGAATAGACTACGGCCACGTTGTTACAGAAATACCATTTCCCTACAGTATCAGTCAGAACTTAGCATTCTGCATGGCAGTATTATACTTTCACACTCCATACAGCAGGTCCAATACAATATTGTTATGCTAATGTCTCATACCTTTTTCAGCTGTTGCCTAAGAATTTGTAATAAGGGAGTTTGTTTTTATTGTCTGCAATGATGTTTTGTGTCAAGTGCCTACTGCAAATTCAAATTTAAGTTCTGTTATATGAAATATAAATTAATGTTGCATATGATAATGTATTGTTAATATGATCAGTGTATTATTTTCAGAAATGTTTCATAAAAGTCATGTTGAGACATTTGCTTTGTCAGCTTTTCTACAGCTCCTCAGATCTGTTTGACACAAGTGCTGATGCTTTATATTGTCTGGCAGACAGCAATGGAGTACATGTACATTTGTCACCATTCATGTGCATACAATATCTTGTCTTGTGTATTTCAGTCCCAAACAATACATATCATTACAGAATTAATCCAAAACATTAATTAAACCCAAAAGAGATGGAGAACAGGGTTAGGCAAACCATAAAATGACAATACAGCAGTTTGTATTAAACTGGATGCTGGTCCTCAAGACAACTTAGTAGAAGATTTATGGATGAAGGTGGGTTCCCCATGCCTTTCAACGAATGGGGAACTGTAATAAGCAAAGATATTCCTGTCACTAGGTTGCTTTTAATTCTCAAGTCTCCATGTTCCTGTGTCAATAACTTGGTGCTGGAATTTTTCTTTCCCTTTCTAAACCTAACAGCTGTTACTGAAGCCAACATTATACAACCTGTTTGGCCAGCCCTGCAGCTTGACAAGTGACACTAGAATACATTAAATATTCAAGAACTTCCACTTGGTCAATTGCACCAAAGGGGTAATCTGTACACACACACACACACACAACTGATTAGTATTTGGGTTGAAACACCTGAACACTATTTTTATACTATAACTGAGCACCATCCTTCGTGGTTCTCCTGAAATGACAAAAAAAAATTATTTCAAAAAGTACCCAACTTCTTGTACAATTGTTTCACTTTTAATATGGATGCAAAGAACATAATATCATTGACATTTCTCTGCTCCTCTCAGTTGATGAGGCTTCACTTTTGTTCTCAGATTCCACTGCGGCTGATTTTAAAAAATGAGTTATCTCTTTCTGCCATGAAGGTGTTTCACGAGGGAAATATGGATTACCTTTTTATTCTGCTGCCCTGCCAACATGCCAGACAATACTCACAATGTCTTGAAGTAGTTTAGAAGTCACATATTCTTTCTTGGCCAATGTCAGATGTAGTTTTACCTGTGGAGCTAGTTGTAAGGCTAGCTATTAATCTTCCTGGGTAGCTTGGCACCGGCCGCTGAAAACGAAATATTCATAATTTCATGTTCAAATCTGGATTGAAAAATTCTTCTTCAACAGTATGTGAGCGGCTATGAGAGGGTATTTACCTTTAACAGAACTCGAATCAGCTTTTGTTCGCACCATTTCATTCGAGGGGTTGCCACTACGGCCTCTACTTTGGATTAAATTTTACTTCAACTATTGCTGCGCTTCAATAACTTCCATAGCACAGGCGCCAAAACATGACATTGATCGATTCTCTTTGCGGAAAATTACAAGTTTGTGATGTCATGAGGCTCATGAGCGTCATGAGCTATTTACGCCAGATAAAAATTGAAATTATCAACTTATGTACCCAAAAACGGGAAATTCTATCGTCTGGGTCATAACTCCTCATGCTCCTCATAGTCCGTTAAAAGTTTCCGCGGCAATGGGTGGGGGGGGGCGTTTGTGATCGTTGGTGATATTTCGGAGGCATCAGAATACTGTTTAGTGATCCGTGGTAGGAAGTGCTATGTAAGACGACGTGTGGTGTTGCAGTTGTAGGTGGTAAATCCAGTTATCCGGTAGGAACGGTAAGGAAGGGTAGGTTTCGGGTTCGTAAATATGTTGTGTGCTTGTTTCGTGTCAGTCTCTCCGAAAGATTACGGCATCTCTTAAAAGAAATTTGAATTATGGCTGGTTGTGGTAATAAAGAAGCGTTATTTGCTTGGGTAAACAACAAACTGTCAGGAATGTTAGACTTTCCAGTACCGCAAGATTTGACGCAGTGAGTTATTTTTCCCATATTTACATTTTTCAAGAAATCTGTTTCGCATTTTTGTCATGTAGGAAGATAGTTTTGTCTTTGGATGTACTGATAATCTGGAACCTTTCAACCGAATACGAATATAAGAAACTCGTCCACTTAACTTGTGGACGCGGATATAATTCCAGAAATTTACGGTGTTTTAAATATTGTAACGTGCAGTATTTGATGACCAGTGTTTTACTTTGTATTGAGAAAACATAACTAAATCATGTTTTTTAAATTCATTTTTAGGGGATATAGAGATTTCCTAACTTTCGGATTTGAGTAGTATGATTGTGTCATGCATCAGGCATTATTATTTTGTTGTAGGTATGTATTGTCAATTGAAAATGCCAGAGATCTAGAAGATTACCTGAAAACCCTACTCAACTTTAATAATGCTCATCATCGGCAGTTTTATGAGGAATTGTTACAGAAACGCCAAGCAGGTAACTGAAGCATGTAATCAGTTTTTATAATAAAATACATGAGCTGGTAGCTTTGGTTTATAAGAGTGATGAGTGTTAAGCATTCAGAAAAAGAGAGAATCTTTCTATCATTGCTGATGGAAAGCCATACACTTTGGAGTTCTTTTTCATCTGTAATAATTCGTTTTTCCACAAATTTGTAATTTCAAGCCTAACCACATTGCCCTCATTTACATGTGTTAGGGGTCAAGAATTATTTAATATTCCTCTCTCATTATTCTTCACTCCAATAAGTCTTGCATTCATAATATCTACTCATAACTCCATTTATAGGGTGTTGCAATGTACTTAATCAGCCTAGCAAGATTTTTTTCCGGTTTCTCATAACCTTAGTGAAAGTTTATAATTTATCTTTATTTATTTATGGTTTATTTAGTCACATTATTAGGAACTCAGGATATGTAGTGTCAACTGGCAGGAAGTAGTGACTACTGAATTTGAAAGTGTGTGGAATGAAGTAATTGTGGCCTGTTTTGAGGTAAAATTCCGAAATTTGCGTGGAGAGTCTAAGGAAGTCCATAAAAATGTTTGTCTGGATTGCCAGTGGCTGTGTCAAGATTGTAACTTGGGGTAGGTACATAAAGAGCAGGAATGCTAGATAGTCAATGACTGCAGCTTTCCATTGGTCCATATTGTAAGGTAGTTCATATCTTTGTAGCCTGTTTCCGTGACATTCATGTTCATGTTATTGCCGTGTCCATGTCATTCTACTTTACAACAGAAAACTTGTATGCATTTCTTGTTTTCCTTGTCCTGGCTGAATTTATTTCTGTCTTGTTCCCCCCCCCCCTGTACTTGTCATCCTGAGGAATTGTGAATTGCTGTGGTCTCATTTGCTCCTTGTCTCCCTGATGCAGAATTTTCTACTTGTGTGAGAGACTGTGAAATCAGGTTGATGTGTCCTGTTGCAGGGTTTACAGGAGTGCCGCTGGATTTCCAGGGCTATAAGAAGTGTCAGACAGAACAGATTTACTTTCCTCCTAAACAAACAGAGAGGAAAAAGAAGTCCAAAGGCCAGCCCGAGGAAATTTCACAGAAGGTACCACAGTTTGTACTGCAACAGTTCCATTATACCTCTGAAATGAGAACGGTTAATTGCTCTTCATGCGATGCAAGCAGCATGCTGTGGAGAGGAATAACATGGTAACAGCTCTGGGATGTGTGGCTGTGTGGGGGAGCCTGCTTTCTCCCTTGGTAACGCTCAACCATATTGTATAGCATCACATACGAGAAACCTAATTTTCATACTTGATGTCACAAGAACCTCAGTTCTCGCAAGTGTGGAAAGTTGGGCTGGATACACAATGAAATTGGATTCACCTGACAACTTTTATTCCCCCCCATACCAGATTTCTTCAGTATCTATTGTGTAATTTTAGAAATTTATTTATTTACTTGTTTATTTATTTATTGTTCATTTAACAATGCTGTCAGTAGCTCAGGCTACACAGTGTCAAAGTTTGGGATGAAACATGCACTAGAGTTCTTCAGAGAATGCATAATGAATGTTTAGATTGATGATAATAATGAGTGTGTGTGTGTGTATATATATATATATAACCATCAACACAGCAAATAAGCAATTAACTTATCACCACATTTGTGTCATTTGAGTATATTAACTATGTATCATGGACAGTGAGACATTACCTAAGAACAATTCAGCAGTATTAGAGAACAACAAGACATTACATAATAATAATTCAACACAGGTTATTTAGTATTGATATGTATGATAGTGCACTGTTTCAATAATATATAATGAGAGTAATGCACTAAAAAATCATACTTAAAAATTATATCTAATATAATTATATGTACCAATTTTATGGAGATTGACAATATTTAATACAACCAAAATATAAAACTGAGTTGACCTGGGCAAATAACATTGTAAATTTAAATTAAAGTACAGCTATTTTATATATTATTTTATAACGTAATTTTAATATGGATCCATAGTAATCATAATTACAATTCAGTATTTTATAGCTTTAAATAATGTATCACCTGATGATGGCTCCAAGTGAGCCTAAACATG